AGCGCGTCCCACGCTCCGACGCTGCAGCCGCACCAGGACCCGGACCTGCTGTTCCAGGTGGTGCGCGAGTCAGCCAAGAAGCTCTCGCGTCCGACGCAGGCTGACAAGCCTGAGGAGGAGGAGGAGGCCGAGCCCCTGCCCTCTGCCATTCAGGAGCTGGGCGGCCTCGACTTCAGCGGCCACATGCTCTACGGCTTCGCGGAGCTGAAGCGCCGCTGCGGCAAGCACAGGGCCGCGCTCGTGAGCGCAATGCTGGACAAGCTTGTGGAGTACACCCACCTCCGCCAGCGCCTCGGCGAAGCAGCTTTGGAGGTGTCGTTCCTGGAGAGGGTGCTTCGGATCCAGGCGCCCTCGTTCGGCGCCAAGCCAGAGAGCGTGCGTCCGGACCCCTTGCTGGCCGCCTCGGAGGCGCCGAGGAACTCCTGGGTCGACCCCTCTGGTCCCGCCTTTGCCGCCGGTACGCTGTGGGGCGAATTGGGCTGTTTGGAGCTGGGCACGGCCCGCAGCTTGGCGCTGCAGTGCTCGCCGCCGCTGGGCCACGAGCTGTGCCTTCTGTGCCAGCAGGAGCTCGCCTACAGGTCCTTGGCCCTCTGCTGCGTGCAGTACAACGCTTTGCTGTTGGACCCCCAGCTGCGCCAGCAGGGCGTCAGCGATGTGGCCAGCCATGGGGTTCCTGGAGCGGTGTTCGCCAGCGACCCTGGGATGGCGATCTTGTGGAAGCTTCGGGAGACGTCTGAGCTGTCCGGGCCGCAGAAGGCGGAGCGTCTGATGGCGCCGCAGCAGAGCCCGCCGCCGCCGCAGGCGTACACGGATATGTCCCGACACAGGCAGATGTTCCAGACGCCCGCGGCCCTGCTGGCTCCGGCGCTGGCCGCCCTGCGGGAACTGTTCTTCGAGTGCACCGGCGTGGACGTGGAGAGCAGCGCGGACGAGCCGCAACTTCAGGAGAATGGCACGATGAGGTCCCTGTGGTTCCAGCTGCTTGGCTGCGGCTGCTCCTTCGCGCTGCGCGCATCCTGCGATCTGGCGGTGCGCATCCAGGCGGTCTACGCCGCGTCCTCGGTGCGGTCCCTCGCCTCGTTGGTCCCAGCGTCTGCGGCGCTGTTCGAGTGCGCGCCGGCGGGGGCGCAGCAGCACCTCCAGATGCCCTTCGTGCAGCGCGACGGGCTCGCGGGCGGTGCCTTTGTGGTGCCCTCCGACTTCGACCTCCTGCAGCTGCGGGGGGCGCGCCAGGTGGACGTCCTGCCCGAGATGCGGGCGGCCCTGCTGAGGAGGGATGCGAGCCTCTTCGACATCGGGCGGTCGCTGGAGACGCCGTCGGGCGCTGCCGCGGGCGCGGCGGGGGCTCCCTGGAGCCCGTCGAGCTCGCCCAGGAGCCCGCCGGGCGCTCCGAGGAGCCCCGGGAACCCGCGGAGCGCCCTGGGCGCTCAGGAGGGCCGCGGGGGCGGCGGGCGCAGCCCCGGCAGCAGCAAGGAGCGCCGCAGGACGGCCATCTCCGTGGGGCCCGCGTCCGGCGGCTCCGGCGACGCGCCCCCCGACGCCCTGGTCGGCGAGGAGCCACACCTCCGCATGGCCTTCGACTCCCCCGCCCTGGCCGCGCTCGGGACGCTCTCGGAGCTGGCCGCGCTGGTGTCCCTGCGCTACGCCCTCGCCGCGGTGAGCGGCGCGCCTGTGACCCTGCTGTGGCTGCAGCGCAGCGCGCGCTTCCGGGCGGCGGGCGTGGGCCTGCCGGAGGAGGCCGTGGGCCGCACGGACCACACCGCGGAGGCGCTCGCGGAGATGTGCGCCGAGCTGGCGCGCGCGGGCGCCCGCGGGCCGAAGCTCTCCTTCCTCTCATCGCCGTCGTCCTCTTGCCTGCCTCGCTCTGCACCCCGCCCCTTCGCCCTCGCCTCCCTCTTGCCCTCCGTCCACCCCGTGCCGCCACCTCCGTCCCCACGCGAAGGACGGGGCCGGGTGTTCCAGAAACCATGCGCGGAACGAGCCCACGGATACGGCTGCGCGTTGAGCGCCACACGGGGCGTTTCAGCACAGACCATGCGCTACCTGGCGGGCCCCCCTGGATTTGCCACAGGGCCCAGCAGCTCTGTCCTGGACGTGTGCCGGGGCCCGCTCGCACGAAGACCGAGCTGCGCACCCACCTGCAAAATGGCACTCCCTGGGCCCCCTTGTGCCGATCAGATTTCGCTTGTGTGGAATTGCGAGACACAGTCTCCAAGCCCTCCATGGTTAACACGCCCCCCAATATGTGGGCCGACCTATGTACCCATTGCTCTTGCAGATTTCATTTTGAATGGGTACGATTATATACATATGTATATATATAACAAAAGACAAGAGGGAGAAAACAAGCAAGCAGAGAGAAACCGTGCACGATAAAGGTGCGTTGGCAAAGAGGTCAGGATCCACTGGCGGTGGTGCGGTTGTGAGGCAGTGATGCGCCATGGCAAAAAACGACCAGGGGGACGGGTCTTGCAGTCAAGACGCCGAAGTAAGGCCAGCTTCGAGCGCAGGATGGGCTCCGTGTTCCCGGCCGCTCCTCGGATCCAGGTCGAGGGACCTGCTCGAAGCCGAGGCTCGCCGTGGCCCAAGAGTGCCCGTTCGTGCCTCACGTGGCGTTCTTTTTCAGGTAAGACGACGACCGTAGACTTCAGTCGGGCCTGTCCCCCTACAGGAGGATTTTCGACGAAAAATAAAACATGCCGCAAACATATTCAAACAATAGTCCAAAAATAGTCGGGGGACTATTTTTTAAGTATTTTTTTGATATTTTTGGTGTATTTTTGGGGTATTTTTAATTTTTCGTCGAAAATCCCCCTGCAGGGGGGGGGACAGGCCCGACTTAACCGTAGACCCCGGGGCGCTTCCTGGAACCAGTCCTTCAACCCGAGTCGGTTTTTGACGGTCCCAGGGCTCGTGGAGGGCCCCAGGGGCCCGAAGGCAGGGAAACAAACGGGGCGCCTCTGCTCCAGGACTGGCCTCCCTCGTGCCAGCCCTCCCTTGTCCCCCTCGACCCGCATCCTCTTCGCGACGGTCGTCGTCGTCCTCCTCTTCGGTTCTCCTCCTCCTCGGTCCTCTTCGATTATCTTCGCCGTCCTCCTCCTCGATCCTCTTCCTCCTCCCCGGTCGTCCTCTTCGATCGCCCCCCCCCTCATTTCCCCCTCTTCGACTCTCCTCTTCGACCCCCCTCTTCGGTCCTCTTCCTCGATCCTCGTCCTCGATCCTCCTCGATGCTCCTCGGATGCCCCCCCCCCCATCCGCCCGCCCTCTCAGCTAGGGCTCGCTCCAGGCTCGCGGCTGGGGCGCCTCGGCGAGGGCGCCCGCGAGGCCGGCACGGCGGAGGTGCTGCGCAGCGAGGTCCGGGCGGCCCACGCGCAGGAGCGCGCCTTCTTTTCGTCGGTTTCTGTCCTCCTCCCTCCGCTTCCTCCCTTCTCCTCCCTCCTTCTCCTCTCCTCTTTACGATGGCACGCTATGAATACTACTCCCTTCTCTCCCCTGGCGGCGTCCGGGAAAGATTCGGCCCCCCCTCCGCGCATTTTTTCTTCAAAGAAAAAGGATTCCTGGGAAACCGGTTTTTGCTAGGTTTTTTCCTCCAAATGCTGCTCTCGCTGAAGCGCTGGCTTCATTTTCGGGCTACCGCTCGTTCCGAATCGTGCTCCTGCTGCAGCGCTGGCCTCATGTCCGCGCTTCAGCTCGTTCCGAATCGTGCTCCCGCTGCGTCACCATCTCCAGCGCCATGCCACGGCATGGCTTTCGGTCCTGCCAAATAGGTCCCAACATTTAGAACATGTCCCCGGAAAAATCCATTTGAAGTGATAACACATTCGGTGTCGATTCGTTGAGTTTTTGGGTCGCAGAAGACCCCCCTCTTTGGGGAGTCGCTACGCCATGCTATGTCAGGCTACGCGTCTTTCGAATCGTGCTCCCGTTGCAGCGCTGGCTTCATTTCTGCGCTTCAGCCCGTTCCGAATCGTGCTCCCGCTGCAGCGCTGGCGTCTTTATTGTAGTGGACTTCGGCCAGTGCCGCCGATCCGGGTCGCTCGGTGTTATTCTCCAGACGCAGACATTATGGGCGCACACTCAAACGCACAAACTTCTCGGGTTACCTTCGAAAGGGCGTAGGAATGCAGTTGGGTCAATAGAGCCATCTCGCAACAGTGGTTCTATCAACGGCGGGGTGCTTGCAGTGACCGTGGGGACGGGAAATAATAATGACATGAAAATTCCATACAGGATGCCGATCACTTTGGAAACTCACGATACGTCGTGCACGGAGTCGTGTTACGAAACATGTGGCCTGGACGATGTGGTGCGAGCGGTGGAGGCGAGCCTATCGGCGCAAGGACGCCCTCTTGGGGCGTTTTTTGAGCCATCTTAGGAGCCTGTCAGGGCGTCGTGGGGGCTTCTTGGGGGCTTTCGGAGGCCCTCTTGGAGGCTCTTGGGGCCTCCTGGGGGCCTCGTGGGCTGGAAGGCTAGATTTTTTCCGCTTTTCGTCCCTCTTTTGGGTCCTCTTGGGGCCGTCTTGGGGGCCTGTTGGGCCGTCTTGGGCGGCTCTTGGGCCGCCTTGGGGCCCTCTTGGGCCGTCTTGGGACTGTCTGGGGGCCTCCTGGGCCGTCTTCGAGCGGTCTTGGGGGCCTCTTGGGCCGTCTTGGAGCGTCGGAAAGCCGAAAAAAGCGACAACCCCAAAAACATTGAAAAAACCAATGGGAATCAACGATTTTTGCCTCTGGGGGCCATCGTGGGAGGCCTCTTGGAGGCCTCTTCAGACGTCGTGGAAGGCTCTTGGGCCGTCTTGGGGCCATCTTGGGCGTGTTCGGGCGATCCTTCGGGGTCTCGGGACTTTCGTAGACCGTCCTCAGAGACTTTTGCGGCCGCGGCCACCCTTCCAGCGCATCCTCGAGATTAGAGCCTTCTGTAAAAGCAGCGCCCCGCATCCGCCGGAAACTCGCCCCCCCCCCCCCTCCCCCATCCCCCCTTCCCCGGCAGAGCCACCCCGGCAACCCTCCCAGAGGCTGAGGCTCAGCCTCGAGGCTGTAGCTGAGACTCCTTGAAACTCACACGCCGGATCGGCGGATTTCCAGCGCCATGCCACGGCATGGTTGTCGGTCCTGCCAAATTGGTCCCAAAATCTAGAAAATGACCCACCCAAATAACCATCGGAGGCGATTCCACATGTGATGCCGATTCGTTGATTTTTTTGGCCGCAGAAGCCCCCCTCCATTTTGGGGCGTCGCCACGTCATGCTATGTCAGGCTACGCGTTGATCTTCAACACCCTTCTATGCCATGTAATGCTATGCCCTGCTGCGACATCCGACTGCGAATCGAGAGGAGATCTACACCATGATAAGGGATGGGAGGGAGGGGTAGGACGTCAGATATGACGCGAGTGCACCTAGCTTGCCTCATCCCCCATCCAACTTCCCACCTCCCTCCTCCTCCGTCTCTTCTCCTCCCTCCTTCGCCCCTTCCCTCCCTGCTCCCCCCTCTCTTTCATCCGCCTCCCTCCTCTTTCCTCCTCCTCGCTCCTCGCTTCTCGTCCCTCGTTCCTTCTCCTAGTCCTCCTCCTCCTCGTCCACCTCCTCGTCCTCCCTTCTTCCTGTTCAAGTAGCGGATCCTAGCGCGCCAGCCGGTTGCTTCGCCGTTTTTCGGATGAATAAGGTGGCATTTTCGCCTTTGTCCAGAGTGTGTCGAAGACCAGCTTCTTCTTTCTCGGCTGGCGAGTGCCATGCGTAGGCTCGATTCACATCGATCTTCTAATTAAACACACTCACGTCGTCACTCTCAGCTGTCAGTGGGCACGTGGTCGTGTATGTGGCATCGCCAACTTCATCGAGCGGTCTTCGTGAAGATCTAATGCTTTTGTGCTGTCCGACCATACTGGCTCGCAGAAGTAGCCCCCCGCGTCGACGCGGAGCAATGGCGGGAAGACGTCGTTAGGAACACGGAGAGATCGTTCGATAGCCCAGGGTGCCGCAAGAAAAGGAACACCGTCAGAAACAACAGGTGTATCAGCATAATCAGGGTGGACGCTGAAGGATGCGTTCAACTAGACAAACCGTCTCGTTTGCAGAAGATGAACGAGAACAAGGGCATCGGTTTACCGTCGGCCTGTTTCAATTTCCCTTCGATATGCAAGGTACCATGTCCGTTTTCCAGGAAGACCCCCCGACGATGCTCAAGTGCATGGCCGTACGGCGCACTGCCGGGATGCAATTGGACTTCAATACGCTGGCAGTAGTTATTGGAATGGCTGATGAAGAGGTGGAACCCGCCAGTGACGCGCAGAACTTTTCCACTTTTCTCTCACCGGCTTTTCGCATGTGTCGCCTGTGTCCCGAGCAGCACGATCGACAAACTTGAAGGGGCCCCAGAACACACAAATGAATACACACAAATAAGATATTCCCCATATTTTCCCATATGTTCTGGGTTTTTGTCTTCCTCCCCACTTCCCATATTTTCCCATATGTTCGTGGGAATCGACGATTATTGTGTCTGTGTGTTTTTTCCTCTCCTGAAAACTGCAAGTTTGACCAGAGCCAGAGCTCGGCTGGATCACCTCGCATCCACCACCGCCCAGAAGGAAAAAATGAGCTGGACGGAGTTCGGGCCGAGAGAGGCACCGCAGAGGAATCGGTGGAAAATAAGCGTGTTCAGGCCCTTCCAGAATTTGCCGAGTCCCCGCTATACATGGTCGAGGGTTTGGCCCCCCTCCCCCCAATGCTGATGCCATCGGGCCCCCCCCCCCCCCTGTGGGCATGGGCGTGGCGTGGTGGGCCCCCCCCCTGTGGGAGTGGTGTGGGGTCCCCCCTGTGGGTGTGCGGTGGTTAGGGGTCCGCCTCAGCCAAGAGTCGGCGTCGCTGGCGCCGCCGCCGCCGTCGTGTCGTCGTCGTCGTCGTTGTCGTCGTCGTCGTCGTTGTCGTCGTCGTCGTCGTCGTCGTCGTGGCCGTCGTCGTCTTCGTCTTCATCTGGGGGGGGCGTTCTGTTCCGGTGCTTCAGGGAGCCGGAGCGGACAGTGTCTTCGTTGTCGTCGTCGTTGCCGTCGTCGTCGTCGTTCTCCTCCTCCTCCTCCTCCCCCTCCTCCTCCTCCTCCTCCTCCTCCCCCTCCTCCTCCTCCTCCTCGTCCTCCCCCTCCTCCTCCCCTCTCCTCCTCTCCTCCTCCTCCTCCCTCCCTCCTCCTCCTCCTCCTCTCCTCCTCCTCCTCCTCTCCTCCTCCCCCCCATCCCATCTGGGGGGGGGGTGCCCGAGGACCCTGGGACCCATCCCATCTGGGGGGGGGGGGCCGTGGGCCCGGAGCCCGCGATACTACATGGACGCCAGGAAAGCAGAGGACATGAACCAACTCCAGTAACAGGTGGCCTCAGACGGCGTGCGCCTCCGAGAGCAGCGCAGCCCGAACCTTTCCAAGAACCTGAGCTTCTAGACGGTGCCAGCACGATGGATTCGGGCTTACATTTTCAGTCATTCCATATGCCAGACTTGGGAGTGATGGAGCAACCGTCTCTCATTTTTTTTGGAGGTTCTCTCTCTCTCTCTTTCTCTTTTTTTCCTTCTCGTTCTCTCTCTCTCTCTCTGTCTCCGTCCTCCTCGCTCTCTATTTGTTGTTCTCTCTCTCTCTCGCGCTCTCCCCCCCTCTTTTTCAATCTCTCCCTTTCTCTCACCACCGGAATCTGACTACTCACGAGCAGTTGCTCGACTACACTGTGGAAGCACGTTCTCGACGGATCACAGCTGGAAATGTTTCAGGCGGAACTATTACGAGGGCGATGCTGCCGTAGGTCGGACGGTTCCCTTCGGCATCAGGCTGGTCCCTTCGGCATCAGGCCTGGCTATCGGGGTGGGCTTCCGGGCCGACACGTTTCGAACCATCGGTGGCGCCGAGCGCGTTGCCCATTTCGGTGCCGAGAAGGAGTTAGACTTCGCGTCGCGCGCGATCGAACTGAGTGACCAGGGCGTGGAGACAATGTGCGCGGGCCAGGCCCCCCGCGGCGTGCTCCTGGTCACGGGGCCGCAGAACATGGAGGTCCACTGCGGCGCGCTGACGTCGGGGGGCCAGGCTCTCCTCGACGAGTCCACGACGAAGGAGTCGGTGGAGCGGGCGCAGCGAGAAGCTGCCCAGCGATGTCGCGACGGCGCCGAGCTTAAGGGTGTTCTGAGCGCGCGGAGGATTGTTCGAGCCTTGCGGATCTAGGGCTGGAAGACAATGCCAGAGGAAGAAACGGGCGAGCCCGCAGTGAAGCGCAATGAAAAAGTGGAGACCGACCTGGCCGCCGCTTCCAATGATAGTTGCACAGCAAACGAAGGTCAGCGTCGTGCTCGTCAGGTTCGAACGTCCAGGCCCACGCGCGCTCTCTTGCAAGACGTCGAGAGCC